GCGAAACGGAAAAAATGTTGATTATCTTTTCTGATAAAAGAAAGCTTTTTTATAGGTTTTCCTTTTCCTTTCATTTTGATTTTAAAAATGGTTGTCTCATATGTCATGAAACCTTCTTAAGCTTTTTTACTTCTTTGGCTTAAGCTTGTCAAAACCTATAGTTATTTTTCTGCAATTTACTTTACTTTGGCTCTTGTGATCTTTATCCCATTATTGGTTTTGTTTAACTTAATCACAAACCATTCAAATCTGCAATTTATGCACTTACCCAAGATCTAGCAAATGGAAGTAAGTGATATTTGTTATGACATCTGAGTATATTTGGCTAAAAAACTTCTTGAAACATTCATGAGATGACAATTCATTGTACCTACTTTTGTTGGCTGTATATATATTGCTGGCACAAGTCATGTTCTCCTGTGTAAATTGGCTGATATTTTATTTGAATTTGTACATATATTTTCTTTCACTTGTTTTGTTTTTCTTTTAAGATTCAAGCAAAATTTTCTCCAAACATTTTTAATAATTAGGGAATGACTGAGTTCATTATTAATCAGAAGAAAATTGATCTCCCATGATGTGTTCTCTCCAGTTGAATGTGACCAATGTCCAGCATCAGTCTGGCAAGATGGTGCCGGCCTCCAAGTTTGGCAAGGAGGATGCATCTACTCAGAAGTTGGAGCTGACCCCTGAAGAAGTTCAGATGGGGGTCACTCTCAAGGTGAGGCATGGTTGTGTGGGGAAGGGTATAGTTTGGTATGATTTTTACACTCCTTTCAGCACAGAAAATTTATATGAGATGCAGGAACTTAGATTTAAAGTCAGTCTCTGATATGGCTTATTAAAGTTTGTGGAGTGTTCTGAAAGAATGCCTTTATCAGAATTTTAATGGGATCTCCCACTCCTCAGTTAAGCATGATATCCAAGAAGATAACAATGTATTCATGACAAACAGGCTTATATGTCTGTGGAGGGTATAGTCCTGCTTGCCTCTGGCCGTTTGTTAGAAAGCTAAGCGTACCTGTTTTGTTTTACAGATTTCGTTACGGAGCCATCATATATGAGCACAATCTCTTTGTCTCCTTTTCCTGATGCCCATCATTTGCTTTTCTGCGTAAATATTTTTAACAGGTTTTTTAGGTATGCATTTTGTAACTCATTAATGAAAAGTAACATTAATTTTGAACCTTGAAAACGTGTATTTAAAAAAAAAAAAAAAGATTTGATGAAAGAGTTATTAAGGAGAAACTTTTACTTATAATTTAATTTCGATACTGTTTGGTGTATAAGTAAACATATTTTAATACCACAGAGAATCGGGACAGTGAATGAGTGCAGAGAAATTCTGTTCATCAACAGTTATATTATTTTTTTGCTTTTCTCAAGCCAATGTATTTCAGATAGGAAACTTTTTATGTAATATGGCCTTGTTGAAAGTTCTTAGAAGAAAACCTTTTTTTTCTCAAGTTGCCATGCTTTTAATGTCTTGACCTTTGATTTGGAATATCAAACGAGTCTAAACATTATTATACTTCTTCTTGTGCCCCAGAGTGTCTGGAAAGGAATTTTGAACACAGAGATCGAGGACAGCCTGGACTTTTTCAAAGCAGGGGCAGGTTCAATGGATGTAGTACGGTGAGCAAATGTCTGGATTCGTGCTTGTCAATCCTGTCCTGCCTGTCCTTCCTCTGTTCTCTTTGTCCCGTCAGTTGTCAAAAGTGTCATTTTTAAAGGATTGTCATTTGAAAAAATGTCCATGTCACAGATCAGGTTTCATCAGATTTTATCGTGCAGACCCAAGTTTAATTTTTGCGACTGGCTCTCAACGTATGATATTTTTTAATCACTAATTTTTTTGTTGGATCATTTGTATGATGCCAAGATCATTATTGTTTAGAGGATTGTTTGGAACCTGGATTTTAGAGTGCCACCGTTCTTTAATAGGTTTGAAGCTACAACCTGATCAACAGAATCATATGTGAGGCATCGTGTTGAAATCAGGCGCTCGTCAAAATAATGAAATCCTAGAAATCGGCATTTTTTGGCCTGTTTGGACATGTTTTTCGAAATTTTGTGTTTTGGCTCAACACCTTGCATGTTCATTCAAAAACACTTTTATGTGTGAATTTTATGAAAAAACATTGATTAAAGGCACAAAAGTGGAAAAGGCCGTGTCCAAGGACTCCAAAGCTATGGGAATCACCTAACTTTGGCGGCCATTTTCTTGATAATTTTACTTCTGAAACCAGGCAACCCCATCTCTTTCAATTGCAAATATCTCAACTTCTATTCAAGGTAAATGGATATTTTCTTCATCGAAAGCAAAGCAAATGAATAACTTTTAAGATGATACCAATGACTCTATATGCCCAAAAATTGAAGAGCGCCTGATTCCACCACATCATGACACATATGAAGCTCACTTTGAATTACACGGACTAGTTTTTTATGAGAAGTTGGCATTAAACAAGATTGAGTGTGAGGACAAAATAAGTTACTACTTCGATTTTAGCCCTATTGATATTCATTAGTCTAATTTACAGGTTGAGTTTGTACACTATATTTGTATGAAATAATGAAAGACATGTTAAACTTGAAGAAAACGGCATCAGTTGAAAATCTACAAATTTGACCCCTGTAACAATTTTCGACTGATATCTTCACTCGAGATGTGACTCATTTTTGTCCGCATGTCGAACAATCATGTTTTTGACATATTTTTTATTTGAGTTGTTTGTCTCCCTCCCCTTCCCAGTTTGGTGGAGGAGATCAAAGAGACATGTGATGTGAAAGTGGTCGTTGAGGACGTGTACATGAACACAGTGTTTGAGGACCTGGTCATGTGTGTCATCAAGAGAGGTCGTGGCATTGAAGACAAAGAGCCATTCACATTTGATGCTGTAAGTCTTTATCAAGAACAGTTGAATGGAGCGAACTCAGAGAAACATGTTGTTTCCATCTCATTAGAGTGGTTTCTTTATTTTTACTTCAATTATTCATTTTTAAATCTGTGAAACTTTCCTTTCAAGACGACTTTTTTTCCATCTGTTGTTTATGTCTATTAATCTTGCTCTTTCCCTACATTAAATGACAATCATGCTTTTGTTTACTCAAACAAACGCATCGTTTGATCTTTGGTTGGTTTGTATTTAATTGTGTTCTGAATGTAACATTTTTTGTTTTGTCTTTTTGTTCGCTGAATATTTTCTGCCTAATCCTTTTGATTTTTTTTTTTGTTACTGTTCTCTCTGTTGCAAATTTCCAACAGTGAAATCACAGACTTTATGTGACGGTGACTGTCCACAGGTTGAGATAGAGGCCAACAAAATGAAACTGAGCTTCCCTCATCAAGTGTTCATTGATAACGAGTTCATGGATGCCTCCGACGGTGTGACTTACAACACGGTCAACCCTGCTGATGAGTCTGTAAGTTCTTTCTTTGTGTTTTGTTGATTTTGGTCAGTTTGGTCTAAAGTTTTGCGAAACAGTTGAACAGTGGTAGGGAAAAGACTTTTTGTAACACCACATAGAAAACTTTCCTTTAATATAATTAGCAAAAGAAACAAAACATTTTTGAGGGATTGAGGGTGTTGTAGAAGATTTCATTCTTTTGATTCCTAAACAAAAATGTTTTACCAATGATGAAATACCACAATTTCTTCAACTTTCCGGTTCTAAATGTGATAGTTCTGTGTCCCATCAGATCTTGAGCCTGCATGATTGCTCTGGTCATTTCTCGTAAGTTTAGAGACTGACTAGACTGGGAGATTATTTGGGTTCTTCCCATTGTGTTGAAGGGAATATGCAACTCCATCAAAATGTAAAAAATGTTCATGGCCATCTACTGTTTGAAATACGTGTCATGTGTGATATTTAGATTTTGTACTCTCCCTTCTTTTTTCCCTCTAACCATTGGGTCAGATTATCTGTTTTTGTCAAGTTAAAAGTTATGTTAACAAATGAAAAAAAAAAAAACAGAACAAAAAACCCCCCCTCCCCATCCTCCCTTATAAAAAAAGAAAAGTAAAGAACTGCTATGTTCAATTGCTTTTGTGATTCATATTCTGACTTTGTTAAGCTTTATTTGCATAAATCGGTTAGGCCAAACTTAGATATAGAATGCTTTAAGCTTTATTTGCATAAATCGGTTAGGCCAAACTTAGATATAGAATGCTTTAAGCTTTATTTGCATAAATCGGTTAGGCCAAACTTAGATATAGAATGCTTTATCCTTCCTCCTGTTTCCCTGCAGGTGATATGCCAAGTCAGCAAAGCCACCAAGGATGATGTAAACAGAGCTGTAGAGGCAGCAAAGGTCAGTGATAAGCAAAATGCGTAAGGTCTAAAAAGCATTTTACTGTTTATTTGTGTATTGAACTGTTCCAAACTGGAGTTTTTTCTCTGGCACAGTATGTGAGTGTATATCATCTAAAAAGCATTTTACTGTTTATTTGTGTATTGAACTGTTCCAAACTGGAGTTTTTTCTCTGGCACAGTATGTGAGTGTATATCATATCGCTAACTCTGTGATTCATTGAGGTACATATCGCTTACTCTTAGTTTTTACCCGTCTGATTTTATGCTTTGCTTTAGATAATGGAAGTGACTGTGTTTCTTTATTTTCTCTGTCTATAATATCCTCAGTTTTCTTCAGATGTTTGTGAAATGTTAAGTGTCTAATGTTTTCTATTTCTCAACTCTGACAGGAAGCCTTTGAGGAAGGAGAGTGGGGGAAAATGAATGCCCGTGACCGAGGGCAGCTCATGTACAGGTGAGCTCATATCTTTGAAATGAAATTTTGGCTAGTATCTCTGCAACTGCTGTTTCCTTGTGTGCGTCATCACAACTGAACAACAAATCTTTGTAGAACAAATAGCACCGGCCTGTTTAGATAGAATGGTGCCCATTGGAAAAACCTCGTACTCCGAGACAGTTATATTTGCTTTTGAAAGAGACTTGTTTTGATACTATTGACCAATTTTAACACAAAAAAATGTCTGTGTTGTAAAATTGACGGCTTTTGATAATAAGAGCATCAAGAACAGATTTATATCTCTTCAGTTATGAACGTTTTCTAATGACCTTCCAAAGAACTGGGTGATATATCAAAGGATAACTTTTTGTGTAATAGAAGAGACAGTTTGCCATTGTTTGATCTTTGCTTTCCTAAGCTTTGAGGTGACAAGTGAACAGTTAGTGGTCTCTTTTGGGGTGGATATTTTTCGGGCATGAGTTAAGCATCCTTCTGGACACAGCCAGGTCATTTTGTAGATGAAACAAGTGGCTCAGAGTCAGCATAAGTTGAATGAAGAAAGAAAGAAAGAAACTAACAAAGAAGGCACAGATAATATGTCTTAAAATTTATGCATCACTCTTGTACATCTGTGAGTAGAAATTAATGGGACGTTTTACCCTTATAGAAGTTGCAACCTCAGTAACAACCTGTCTCAAAGTTGTCACACTGATGTTGCTAGACATATTTCAACCTTCTGCATTCAGGGAAGTTGTTACTACTCCGTGGTTGTATACTTGCTTGTAAACATGGTTAGAAAAGGAAATTTCCACAACATGTGATACGTAAGATAAGAGTGGTCTGTATTGTCTCTCTCCCCCCCCCCCCCCCCCCCCCCCACAAACACCCCCTCCCCTCTCTGAAGGCTGGCGGACTTGATGGAGGAACACCAGGAGGAGCTGGCTACCATAGAGAGTCTGGACTCTGGAGCTGTCTACACCCTGGCTCTCAAGACACACGTGGGCATGTCCATACAGACCTTCCGATACTTTGCTGGCTGGTGTGACAAGATACAGGTTTGTGTGTCTGTGTATGTGTGTGAATGTGTGTGTGTGTGTGTGTGTCTGTGTTTGTGCTCACGCGGGTGTGTGTGTTGCCGTAAAAGCCATGAGAGAAAAGGAAGCAAAGTGTACGGTCGGGGACAAACTGTTAAAAAGAATAGACATGAATTCTAAGAATAACAGACATATCATGTAGTAACTGAGAATGTGAGGTTTAATTTGCAGCTTAGAGACAAGTCTCCAAAAGTGAAGATGTTCCTTCAGTCTGTCCATGCGAGTCTTAAAAACCCCAATAAGTTTGCTTTGTGCCTGATATATTTTCCCCAAAGTGCAAAACTTTTCTGTATGTTTAATGAAGAAGAAAAAAGCATTGTCAGATAGCTTAGCTATGTTTTGAAAGAGGATGTGTGGTGGGAACATTCAGATGAAATGTGAAATGCACAAGGAGTAAGACTGGAAATGTCTTTTACAGCATGCAAAAAGTGCATTTTTGGAAGCCATTGTTCAATATCTTGGTAAAAAATTGTCAAAGACAAGTATTCACAGGCAGCATCAGAAATTAATTGCAAATTTTTTCCATTCTTGGCGTCTCATGGATGTTTGGTCAGATCAAGGTTGTGATTCATTTCGATGGTCTATTTAAATGTTTAAAGTCTCGAATACGTTTCATACATTGCAGTTCAATTTAGGTCTTGGATTTTGTTGAACTAGGCTTTCTTGGATTTTTGTGGAATTAGGCTTGAAAACGTTAAAAGGATTTGTTTAACAGTGCAAGAGGTCCTTTAACTCTTTATCTCCGAGGGGGGGTAAACCCACTAGGCCGGGGCCCTTTTTTGGTGCTAAATGTAAAAATGACAAAAATGTCATTAAATGGGTCATTAAATTGAAACTAGCAGACCTATTTTGATAGTTTTTCATCTAATGAATGAACTTCCGGTATAAAAGACCTGTTTTGGGCATTTGCTGAAAAGTAATTTGATGTCAAAGTCGTCGTAAACGAATGTGGCCGCACCGCTGTCTGCGGCTCATAGGCACAGTATATATGTGTGGAAATGTGTGAACCACTGAGACATAATTGCTCTTGTATTATTATTACTTCTTGAGCTCTGTTCATGCAAACACAAAATAATTGATTCAGCTGGAGGAAACTTTCAAACTTCTGACTCTGCATCAAACATTTCTACAGTGTGATAGTGAGAGCGGGCTATTTCAACACCAGCTGCAGGTGTTCCCCTTTTACATTCACATACCCACGTACTTGTGATCGAATTTAGAACAGAGCTCTCTTCGGCTGCTCATGTACTGAACGTTGTGCAAGAACTCTTATTGACAGCAGTCGATCAGTTGATATTAACAAATACACGGTCCTTTCTCTTCAGGGAAAAACCATTCCCATCAACAATGCCCGGCCAAGCAGAAATCTCACGTTCACCAAGAGGGAACCCATCGGGTGAGAAGAAATGTCCTGTCCTGCGCTGCATATTTGTATACCTGCATTCTGTTATGTTCTGATGAAGCAAATGATGGATGGGTACTTTCCCTTTTGCAACAAGAACAACTTTCAGCAAATCAATTTTCAGTATGTTCACAAGTCATGACCACAAAAAATAACCAGTTTCCTTTTCTGAAAACTACGTCTCCTTTTGAATGTAGAATAGATGGGGACAGGTAGAACAGATTTTTTAAATGTATTAAGTCTCTTCATCCTGGATTAAAAGAAATCAATTGCTCAATATAAGACTCTGTTGTAGGTCACTTTTTAAAATGATGTATGGTCGTGTCTAACACAAAGCAGTTGAAATGTGAACTGCTCAACACCGTAAGTTTTCCTTCCTGTTTGTAAATGTTTGACAATGGTTATCACTAAAAAGAAGATACAATGTGTTTTCTGAGGTTTGTGTGATTCCTTCTGATTTTCAGAGTATGCGGTATCGTGGTGCCCTGGAACTACCCTCTCATGATGTTGGCCTGGAAGATGGCTGCGTGCCTGGCTGCTGGAAACACTGTAGTACTCAAACCTGCAATGGTGAGCCCTGCCCCCTGTCTAGAGTGTATTTTCCTGTCGTCATAGATAATGTTAGTAGTAGTTGGTAGAGCTTGAGGAGTAGGAGTATGCATAAGATTTATTCAGCATGCGAACTTATATTAACAGGCTCTGGCAGTATTATATTGTCATGTACTAAAAAAAACTGTCAGCGATAAACCTTTGCTTTTGTCTTGAACTGTCTTTTGCTTAAAAATCTTTTTCTAATTTTTTTCACTATGAGATCTGAAAACTTTCACCCTTGGCCTTTGTTTTCTGTTGTCTCGCAGGTGACCCCTCTGACTGCCTTGAAGTTTGCAGAGCTCACTGTGCTGGCTGGCTTCCCACCTGGTGTCATTAATATTTTACCAGGCTCAGGTATTTTATTTATAAATAGACCAACCTCCCAAACTGATTTCCCAATGCCTAGCCTTGAAAACAAACGATTCGTTACTGAAGGTCATTCTCAGTTTTGTCCCTTCTGAGGAGGACAATGTGGACAGTCCTAAACCCATAAAACCAAACTAAACCGAACCGATGATGCTAATGTGCATTGCCTATTAGCATGAACTCTCCTGATACTGAGCACCTAGTCCTTCTGCAAGACACACTTATCTAAGAAGGACAAGAATTTCAGACCCATCTTGAATAGAATGTCGCACTTTCTGTGAGTTCAGGAAAGCCTATCCTCTTGTTGCACATTTTTACAATGTTATCTTGAGGCTGAGTTTCTCCTTGTTCTAGCCTGTCGTCCGTATATCTCTTGCTACAAAATTTGATCACCCAATATTTTGATGGAATAAACTTTTAAGTCACTTTTTAGTTCTTCATTGCTTAGTTGTAAGTGCTGAATTTTATCCACCATTTGCTGTATTTCCCTTGTTTTTTATTTTGCAATTTGTTATTGTTAAAAAAAAAAAAATTGATATAGATTTTTAGATAAATCATTTTATTCTGCAAATCCATGTTCTCATTTTTCTCCAGAGTACCGCTGCTGTTTAATTACAAAGCTATAATAGATATCTCTGACATTCTTCTACCTGACGTAGTTACATTAGTTACAAGAAAGTTGTTCTTTTAGCCACTGTGTCTTCACATTGCTGGCTACTGTGTGATGAAGTGGTTAGGTTCTTTGCCATAGCACTAAGAAGACAGGAGTTAGACTCCCAAGTGACAAAGTTTGTCTTCTGTCTATCTGCCGGGATATTGTTTCTTCACAGAAAAGTGTCTTCACATGTTGTCTGTCATCTGATCAGGTTCCCTTGTTGGTCAAGCCTTGTCTGACCATCCCGATGTGAGAAAGCTGGGCTTCACTGGCTCCACACCAGTGGGGAAAACCATCATGGCCAGGTGAGGCCTGCACTTTTTTTTTGTAACGGAATAAAGAGCTGAATATTTGTTCAAGGCTAATTTGTTTTGTGAAAGGCGGATATTGATGGTATGGGTCTTTTAGTGGTCAACTCTCAGAAAGCTCAGTTTACAGATTATGGAAAAATCGTTTGTCTTTTCATCTTTCAATTACAAATGGAGGCTCATAACCTATTTCGCATACTTATTTTGTTTTTGAATATGCATACATTTTCCCTTGATGCAGAGTTCTATGCTGTATGAAAGAAAGTATAATGAATAAAAACTTTTCTTGCATTGTCATACTTTTGTTGTTGTCACTGGTTCTATATTTTTGAGGTTGTTCTTGTCCATACATATGTAACCTATTACCTCTGGTATCAGGGAGACAGGTTGTTCTCATTTAGGGTTGCTGAAGTATTTCTACTGCTGATATAGTTTGTTGCGAAAATTTTGTATTTTCTCATTTGTCCTAACAGTTGTGCAAAGTCAAACTTGAAGAAAGTATCTCTCGAGCTGGGCGGCAAGTCACCACTGGTCATCTTCAGCGACTGTGACCTTGACAAGGCTGTGAGGCTAGGCTGCGGAGCTGTCTTTTTCAACAAAGGAGAGAATTGCATTGCGGCAGGCAGGCTGTTTGTGGAGGAGTCGATACACGATGAGTTTTTACGCCGAGTGGTGAGTTGGCTGAACGTTGTAGTGGTCATGCCATAGAGTTGTCAGTATGAACAAATAATGGATATTTTTGGTGGCGCTACCATGTCCCTTTTATATAGTGGCACTGTTTATTTAAGTATTTGTTGTGATGTTTCTCAACAAATCTAGAGAAAGCAAAGGAAAGAGAAAACTAGGTTAATATCTAAGACTGATAATAATAATAATAATAATAATAGATAGCATTTGTATAGCGCAAATCCCCGCTCAACAGCAAGCTCTATGCGCTTCACAATCTATGTTTTAATAATAATGATGACAAACAAATTTCGCTCTCTACGTCCTCATCAGCACACATTCTCTCAAATTTTTTGTTTTACCTGAAATTTGACACCTATGTGTATCCAAATACTTTCCTTTTTTTACCTTCTCTATTCGCTTTGCAGTGATTAATTGAGCTATAGAAAGCTTATTTTAGGCATAATAAAATGTCTTTCTCGGATTCTGTTGTTTTCTTTGAAGTTTTGATTGGGGTCTAAGAACTATACATTTACACTTGTTTGTTTTTTTTGCCGCAAAAGTTGGCATATGCTTTCACATGTATAGTTTGAGTTTATATGTTTTTAAAAGAAATAAGCCATTTTGTATCAGGGATGAGCTTTGTTTTTTTGTGTGGACTTAATGCTTTCTTTATAAAATGTCAATATCTGTTTAAAAAAGTTTTAGCTATCTATAAAGTGTCCGCTTTGTTGTTTCTTTCCCATGTGTGTAGCTGGTGGAAGTTGATAAGATGAAGATTGGCAACCCGCTTGACCGCTCCACTGACCACGGGCCCCAGAACCACCGAGCCCACATGGAGAAGCTTGTGGAGTACTGTGCCACAGGTATCAAAGAAGGGGCGACTCTGGTACGGGGTGGAGGACAGGTGAAGAGGCCAGGTGAGCACAGGCATGGGCTGTCATTTAGGACTGGCTAGTACTATGTGTTTTTGTTTTTTATTAAAGTTAAAGATTTTTGTGAATAATTCGACAAAGGTTCTGAGTTTGATTTCAGTTCACAGTGATATGAGCGCTACAATGTTTGTTGTGTTGTTTTTAGATAATGGTATTATGTTATTTTTCAGCTTATGAAGTTGATCTCTATATCTTGGAATTCATGTCTGATCCCATGCGTGATTGGGAAGCTCATGTTTTGTTTCTAGCAATGAAGATGATGTCTTCAAAGATTTGCTGACCAGCGTTAGCTTTGGATAAGAATGTATTAGTCAGAGGATAAGAACACTAATCACTATATTATTTTTATTGTTTCAGTTCTAATCATCAGTTGTTAAAGTTCAGTACAGAGTGATTATTGCAGCTGTCTTGTAAATGTTGGTTATCTGGTTTTTGCATGCATATCCATTTAGAATAAAGTGCCGCTGTTTTTTTTAATGATGGGAATTCCCTAGTTGACACCCAAGGATGTCATTTCCAAAAGGGAACCTTGACCCTCAGGTAGTGGGGAGAGGCTAGGTCTTGAATTGATAGCTCAGCTTAAAAGAGAAGTGGCTGGAAGATGCATCAAGTGAAGAGATAAAAATGTCTCGTTTAATGCCAATGCAGCTGCGTTGTATGAGGGATGCTCCACCAGAGGGGAGGTCATTTCTTCTGTTTTTGAATTGTTCTTCTTTCTCTTGTTAATCTCTGAATGGACATCCTAGTCTCCAGTGTGAAGGCTGATGTTGGCCGCAGGTTCTCAAAGCTCCTGTAGAGTTTTGGGTTTCCCTACCCAAGGTTGCTCCAATATTTATTTCTTCTGAGTCTGAGGGGGAATTGTTTGTAAATTCCCCTTCACTTTCACAATGAGAGCAGAATGTGCTCAGTAGCGGTATCCTCCATCTTGTTTCTTTCTCTGATCAGGTTTGTTCTTTGAACCCACCGTGTTCACTGATGTGCAGGACAACATGATGATTGCCAAGGAGGAGTCGTTTGGGCCAGTCATGATCATCACTAAATTCATTGATGGGTAAGTCCACAAGTGTGTGACATTTAAAGGATTTATGTAAGAAAATGATTATGTTGTACTTCACTTTGGTTTTTTACTTACAGTGCCAGGCAAACAGGTTGGTTTTGAAGTCTCTATTGCTTTTTAGTTCCGGATAAATGTGGAAATTATATTTTGGATATTTTTATTACATTGTTAGATTTTTTATTGATCTGATAGCAAAGGTGGTTAATTTCAAACAACATTTTGTTTGTTAATGTTATTAAACATTCAAGTCATATTTTTGTTTCAGTTTGACAAAGCATAACTTTTTACTGTGCCTTCCTCTCTTGTCCTTCTCCAATCTGTTCTACTCACACTCCCTCTATCTCCTCTCTGCTCCTCTTCTACTCCCTCTCCCTCTGTCTTATTCTCCCTTTTTCTCTTCCACTCAGCCCCTCTCTCTCATTCTATCTCTCTCCGTCTCCCTGCTCCTCTTCTACTCCCTCTCCTTCTGCCTTGTTTTCCTTTCTCTCCCACTCCCTCTCCTTCTATCTCCTTCTCCCTTCTCTTCCACTCCCTCTCCTTTTATTTTCTTCTCCATTCTCTTCCACTCCCTCTCCTTCTATCGTCTCCTTCTCCATTCTCTTCCACTCCCTCTCCCTCTATCTCCTTCTCCATTCTCTTCCACTCCCTCTCCTTCTATCTCCTGCTCCCTTCTCTTCCACTCCCTCTCCTTCTATTTCCTTCTCTATTCTCTTCCACTCCCTCTCCTTCTATTTCATTCTCCCTTTTCTTCCTCTCCCTCTCCTTCTATCTCCTTCTCCATTCTCTTCCCCTCCCTCTCCCTCTCCTTCTATCTCCTTCTCCCTTCTCTTCCACTCCTTCTCCTTCTATTTCCTTCTCCCTTCTCTTCCACTCCTTCTCCCTCTATCTCCTTCTCCCTTCTCTTCCACTCCTTCTCCCTCTATCTCCTTCTCCCTTCTCTTCCACTCCTTCTTCCTCTATCTCCTTCTCCCTTCTCTTCCACTCCCTCTCCCTCTATCTCCTTCTCCCTTCTCTTCCACTCCCTCTCCCTCTATCTCCTTCTCCCTTCTCTTCCACTCCCTCTCCCTCTATCTCCTTCTCCCTTCTCTTCCACTCCCTCTCCCTGTCTTCACACATATTTGTCATTGTTGCCACAGAGACATAGAGGGCATGCTCCGCAGTGCCAATGACACTGAGTTTGGCTTGGCATCCGGTGTGTTCACCAAAGACATTGACAAGGCCATGCGAGTGGCTGACAATCTGCAGGCTGGCACGGTGTTCATCAACACTTACAACAAGACTGATGTGGCAGCTCCCTTTGGTGGATTCAAACAGTCCGGCTTTGGGAAAGATTTGGGTAACTATTTATTTGCTCCAAGAGAATAGGGGTATTTTATTTCTTGGAAATCAGTTGTTTTAATTGCTTCTTTTCTCTGTTCTGTTTCAAGGTTATGTGTTGACATTACTTTATATTTGCATCGATTTCTATACGGCTGCTTTGGAAAGACAGAAAAGTATGTTGTAGGATTATGTCATGATTTCTACAATTTTAGTAAGTTGTTCAGTGCAATATTTATCAAGGAAAATCTAGTGTGGTCTGCATCTTCTATTTCTTTTGTATGTTAGCGCCATCCTCTTCTGTTCCTAGCAAAATGTTGCTGCTATTGTGCTGCTATACTGTGAGGTGCACATTAGATAACATCAGGTATGCTTACAAAAGAAGATAAAGTGCTAGGTCTAGATGCGAGGAATGGTATGCTTTATTTTTTTTCTGTGTTATCTGTGCACTTCAGGTGAAGATGCCCTCAATGAGTATCTCAAGACCAAGACTGTCACCATGGAGTACAGCTAAGACCAAGAACTCATAATCTAACTCAGACGTAAGTTCAAAGTAAGGAGTTAATTGTGTTTGATGTTATCAGAGCAGTCCTATAAAATATGGGAAGCAGCGTGGTGAAATCAGGCGCTGGTCAAAATGCAGAAATTGGAGAAATAGGCATTTTTCCTAAAGTTTTGACATTTTTATCGAATTTTTTGGGGGGGCTCAACCTCTTTTATGTCCGTGTAAAAACACATTTCCATGTGAATTTCTCTGAAAAGCATTGATTTAAGGCTCAAAATATGTCATTTTTCTGTTTTCAAGGACTCTTTAGCTATTGGAGCTACCAAACTTTGGGGGCCATTTTCTCGCTACTTTCACTACTGAAACCAGGTGACCTCACTTCTTTCAGCAATAAACATCTTAAGAACTTTGATGGATATTCTTTTCATTGGGAGCAAGGCAACTAAATCAGCTTTCAGATGATACCAATAACTACACCTGTCCATATGGTCATGACACTTATGGTTTGATTTCTCGTTTTTTTGTTGTTTGTCCTGACTAAATGACAGACAGTTGTGTGGGTGGTTGATGGGTGTTCTAGTTTGGTTTGCGTATTCTTTCGTATCAACCTCTATCATCCTTATCTCTCCTTGTTCTTTGCTTTATATGTTACTTTCTTGTAACATGTCTGATCTTCAGCACTTATATTACTGGCTTAATTTTGTTGCAAGTGCTTTTAAACCCGTACTAAAACTTTAAGTAAAATGGTTATTGTAAGTAAGAACCTGAGGAGTCATGTCAGTGGTGTCCGTAGTTAGGGGGCTACTTCTGAAAAAACTTATTTTTGTGAGCTGTAAAGGTGTTTGTTTCTATTACAGTACACCAATTATTTAATAGGACTTGAAGACTGTTTGAAGACTTTCATTTTGCTTCGAAGGTTTTATGCCCATGTACACCTGATGAAGAGTTGTATCCTGAAATATTAGATTTTGAAAATGTTGGAAAGGTTTTTGGGTTGTTTTTTTTTTAAGATCCAAAACTTTGCCATTTTGTGCTTGCCTCCGTCAATATGCAAAGGATAACAGAATATGTTATTATGTAGAGATGCACTTTAAGCAAATAATATAATTGGTGTTGTATCTGTCACTTTTAACCTTTATTGTCTTTCTCCTGCTTTTTTTTCTGAAAAATGACAACCTCTCCTTAGATTTGAACATTTGCATTTGTATAATTTTCGTATGAAGATAATTCCATAGTTGTAATATAATAGTTCCACCGTCTGAGTCTGATGATTACAAGAGCATCTGCAGATGAGAATATTTTTTTTTAATGAAATAGAAGAATATAAGGATTAAGATGGCTTGTGGCATCAGCAGTGGACAGTAAGACCAATTCTGGCAGAGAAGAGTTTGCCTCATTTTGGGCATTTAAAAACTTCATTTTCACTTGTAGGTGTGCACAGCTTGCAGACTTCTTTCTTTGGTGTGATCATTTCTAATTATTGAAGCCTCGTTTGAATGACTCCCCTCTAATTTGTGAACCTAGATGACACTGGTGTTAAGGCTTCAAAAGCAACCATATTTTTTTTCTATATCCCGAAAAGAAAACGTTTAGTCTTGAACACTTATAGTACTTTTACACATATAGTACTATTTTTATTATACGTGAGAGTGGAAACAAAATGAATGATGCACTGATGTAAACTTTTGCTATATGGTCTTTGTTTTTTTTCTCTTTATGTTTGCCTGCTTTGTGTACATTTCGTGATTGGTTTAGAAATTGGTACGAGTGAATTTCTGTCAATCCTCAGATAATCCCAAATTTTGTAGAAAGTGATTGATAAGAACAGTCTGACAGAAAAATTCATATTGATTTGATAATGAACATGTTTCTGTTTATCATTGTGCTCTTGAAATTTCACATCCTTGAATAATATTGATTAACTAAATTTTGTTTCCTTACAGATGACAGAAAGTTTGCCATCTCCACCACGCGGAACAGACTCTTTGTTTAGCATTACCTTTCAAATTAAGATTTATTTTTTTAACATATAGTATTGTTTGTTTTGTGAGGTATGCTTGTGAATGTCTGAAAATATGGATAATGTAAACTTTGTTTTGACAGTGGGCATTTTGAGTTTAAAAAAAACAACTTTACACATTTATGGCCCATGAAAAGGTACAGAAGCTTTGCATAAAAGTTTTAAAGACTTAAGGTTTTTATTTCGGGTTAAAGAAAATGTCTAAAGTTGCTCTTGAAGTTGAAGCCTTTACACCGGTGTGATCAATGTTCAGTTTTGTCTTCTCCCGACTCAGAAGTCTGAGCCATAGCTGAAATATCTAGGCAAAAGTTTTCTTATGATTTATGGTTCCAGAGTTATATTACTGAAAACCCATACATTTGACTCGAGAGCTGGACTAAAAATCTTGTAGATATTTTCCGTTTGCTATAATGTTCCACCTGCTGAATCGTAAACAAACAAAGAGATTGACATATTCTGCCTACTGCATTGTTGGCACTTTACTGTTGCCATCCACGACAGACTGCACAAAGCGTGCCAGGACTGTTGAGGCTGTATTTCATGAAATGAAAATTCTTTACAAAGCCACTGGCATCAGATTCCTTTCCACCTTCTAGTGGCCTCAACTCATTGTTGTTTTCAGGAGTCCAATGAACTCCCAAATGTTCAAGTCAGAATAAAGAACTATATTCTTTAGATTCCAGTGTTTGAAGGAAATGACAAGTAAATTATCTGCTTTGCAAGCACCTTATCTATGGAACAGACCCCAGGGCCTTATGGAAACTTGTGTAACGATTTTGATTTGAAGCGTTTCCCCATTTTAACCTAAATTGCTGAGTCTGACAATGATATAGTCATCTGTGTTTTGTTTAGAAAGACTGGTGCAGATATTGCCTAGATAAGATTTTCTTTTACAAGGAATCTTTCATGCCTGACTTTATTTTCCTACCTTGGCTGGGATTTGAAGGAACCCAATAGACAATTTAATTTTTTTCCAAGCTCAAATGCCCGGTTAATGTACATATTATATGTGTATATAGATGTATAAATGTCTCTTACTTAATTGTCCACATATATACAAATGTCCGATCCTAAAAATGGGTACATTGTGTTTTAAAATTTTTTAATAAAGGTTTAAAAACAGCTTTTGTTTTTATTAGTGAAAGTGAAAGTGCATGAATTGAAATTTATCAGAGGACACCAGATGTTTAATGTAAGAAGTGAGTGACTCCAAACCCACAAAATTGGTGGTATTCCTCTCTTGCACTGGACTAAAGACATCCGACTACCTGTGACCACCTTTAATGGATTTTTTTGCATTAGACCGATACGATGTTCAGATGAACGTTGTTGTACGTAGTATGTATACTACTATCTAATAAGAACAGTGCCTTAAAGTTCTGAAAGATGGAACGTACAGATTGAAAGGGTGGCTGTCATAAATGTTCATGCAAGATAAATCTGTGTGGAATTCTGTTGGTTGTTCTGTGGCATGGTTCACCTGAGATTTAGACATCCGTGTCAGGAGTTTTTGTTGTGATTTTTTTTTTCCAGTTAGAATGTGTTACTGATAAATTGTATTTTTCTCTTTTTTTCTGTTTTCAGATTTTACTTTTGTTTTTTGTTCAGCATTAGTGCAGTTTTAAAGCTGATATTTTGGCATCTTATTGGTTTTGTGTGTTTTGTGGTGTTTGGTGGTGTGAGAATAAGACTAGATCTCTTGGTACAATGCTAGTGGCACAGATTACAAAGAATTGATTTTTCTTTTTAAAAAGTTGAAATTTTTCTGTTCTTTGTAGCAAAACTGAATATGTTTGCTTGTTTTGTTTTTTTAATCATTAATTTTATCCGTGACGATTGCAGCTCTTTTTTGTGTGTGTGAAAATGTACTCTTAATGAGAGAAAATTTGAAGCATATTTATATGAAACTATTTTTCTATGCTTTGTAGCATAGAATGTTTAATGAAGTGTCTAGCAGGTCTTGAAAATTATAGAGAACTGCAGTCACTTTCTGGAAAATCAAATGAATTTCTATTTGTTTCTAAGAAGCAAGGGGAGAAAAAAAATGAAGTCTTTTATTTCATAGAAATAATGATACAAATGAAGAGAAGTAGAGTGTGCTGTTTATAAACCTTTTGCTTTGGTTTGATTTAGTCCATGATGATTGAACGTGAATGATTAACAAAAGTAATTGTTGGAGGAAGGGTATTACCCAATAGTGCTGTGAATGCTTTGATTAATTTTGGGATTTGTGATAAAAGTTATAATTTATTTTGTTACTGATTTGATCTTTTGTTTTTGAGATCAAAATGAGTCATAGTTTGAGGCTGGGGTCTTTTAAGACTCATGATGAAAGTTCTTGCAAAATCCGTTGTAGGAAATAAATGTGATTAAAGTGGTAAACAACATTTTCTTTACTATGTTACTTTGAACAAAGTATTATGTACAGACGAGATTTTCGTTTTTGGTTCAAACAAGGTACATGTGATAGATATCCACCTTAGAAATATCCTAGTTATGTTGATAAGGGGTTTATGTCTTATTTTCTGGTTGCCGTTTAAGTAGTGAGAATTGTTCGCCTTTGGCTCAACTCTACTTTCATAATGATGACTGGCAGCTTGGTACAATGTTGGACTAGAATAGTTCTTTACTTCACAGTAATACTTGACGACTTTGCTTAAGTGTGTGGTTATGGGTGCTTCGATGCTCTTGACTCTACTTCTTTTTAGTTTTTTAGTGTTACTATTACCAAATCCTTCTTTGTTTGTATTAAAAACAAATAAGACATGGTCTTTTCATCGTGACTGGTTATAAACTACAGCCCAATATTGCCTCTGTAACTCTAATGAATTTTGCAAAGAGTGAGATCACTAGTGTCCAAATGGGGACATATTGTTTTAATAGATTGTTTATTCAGCAACGACTTCACGACATTTACAGTAGGCCTATATCATAGGTGCATTTTCTGAAGTACTGGTCATGGCTTTATTTTTTACTCTTGTGTTTGGTTATTGTGGGCATTTTCTTTGTGTGAATGCATTTAATCATCGTTGCAATTTTTGTTTATGGTATCTTAGCTTTGCCATGCCTTAACCAGTGGTGTTAATACAAGGTATTATCATGTTTTTCTCCGTTTCATGAAAGATAAATGTGTACCAAGTGCTCAACGACTCTTTTTATTTTGCAAACTGAATGGTTTCTTTTACCTATTTTTGTCCTCTGTTTTCTTAAAAAAGAACTGCCGAGTATATTTATTGATTTGTTCAGTGTAACGGTGTACACTGGAACCTAAAGGCTTACTTTATATAGCTATTGTTATTTCTTGCTTGTTTATGGGTTCTTGTAGTAGGAATGATGTTTACAGAGGCTTCAATTTATTTTAGTTCTGATTTATTTTGAATTGCTAGTTTTAATGTGTTGGAGCTGTCTTTCACAAACTCACATCTGAATGCAGGAAATAAAATGGTTTGCCACTAACTCACCTTTCCATTACAAAAAAAATGTATTAGCATAAAAAAATGTCTCATGGTCTCCATTTCACTTTTTTTTTAAATGTGTGAAATAGTAGTTATCATAAATATTGTTGATAATAGACGTTAAGTTGGATCACAGGGAGTATGTGTCCTCAGGGCTTCATTACTGCTGCATGATCATGTAGATGCTTGCTTATTGGTTTCTTCTCTTTGTTTCTGAGCTCGCAATGCATAGAGGATGCTTTTGTAGAGACTCATATTAAATCTCATAGAGGAATGAATAAAGTGTGGAATATCTAGAAGAAAAGCTGTTTGAGTCAGTTTCTTATTCCTTTGTTTATTTTATTGATTTTGATAGTCTTATTGGTAGACTCTTTTAAGTACAAGTTTTAGTTATGAATTTTGTTAGCATTGACTTTCTCGCATTTCCCTTCACGTTGACCATAACTAACTTTCATAAGTACGATGAAAGAATTGTTGTTTTTTTCCTGCTTGGTAAGTACATGTGGAGGAATATCTTCAGTCCTCAATAATACTTTTACTTATTTGTTAGCCTCACTACAGTGGGCCCTACTTCTTATAACAGTCTCGGTTGTAACAGGATTTCGGCTATAGCAGGTTTAAGATAAATCCCCAAATCCGACCTCTTATAAAGTATAGGCTAGTAAATGTAGTTAAAAAGTTTTTTTTTTATATAACTGTCATCTGGACAGACATGCTTGGCCATAACAATAACAGTGGTCCAACCATCCTAAAACAAATGGGCAATAAAGCAGAAAAAAAGCAATTAATGAAAGTTGAAGAATTGCCAACATTGATGGCGCATTGCTCTTACCTGACTCACAGTATGCCTAAGCTGATGGTGTACACGTTTTATGATGTGACATATCGTGTGTGCAGGAGACGGAAGGAACATTCTAGGCGGACTTTGGTGTTGATGTAAATCCAGTCAGTGACATAGCGTGCCCTTGATGTAGCTCATCGTCACATTGTCCCCTCATTGGGGGCGGCGAGACTTGCAAGAATAAGTGATTGAATGAAACGTAGGCAGTAGGCGCGAGAGATCTACTGCGGACCTATGTGTGATCCCTTTCAGAAAAAAGTGGTAATTATTTGATGACGAATAGCTATAAAGCTCACAGAGCATGGTGTAAACTCTGTAGAGCATGAATATGTGCAACATAAATGCAAGTATTACTAGCGGGGGGAAAGGAGTTGAACAATTCCTTCTCTAGCTGGCATCTCCTTATTCTAGGATGTGATGGCATAACCATAATTTAGCTTTTCAATACTAAGATTAGATTATTTGTTTGGGACTTTGAACTGATGTTTAATAAAGAAATAATAATATATGCACATGCACGTTTGTACAGTAGCGCACACCATGCACTTTGCTGTCGCACGCAGAAGACCAGAAGACCTGAATTCGTTTCCCGGGTTGGGATAATATTTTCCGTCGTCTTTCTGCCAGGACTTTGATTACCTTTCAACCCGGATGGACTCTGACGGCTAGGATCGAAGCCTGCCGCCTAGATCAGCTAAATCGTGTCGGTTAGGACGTCGATTAAATAAAAAACAAAAAAAACTGCAACCCAAAATAGCAACAACAACAACAAGCGACAAAAATCAACAACACCAAAAACCTGTTTATACCAAGTTCTTTTACTGTAGTTTCACAACTCATGCACAGTATACTCCGATTACCTGCATTGATTGTCTGCATGACATGAAAATGGGATATTACAACAACAACAACAACAAAAACAACAACAACAACAACAGCAGCAGCAGCAGCAACAACAACAACAGTTTGGTGTTTGCCAACTAACACGACGGTACCGCACTCTAGTGAGCGGTGTGGTACAGACCTAATTATGTGTATTATCATTTGTTGGGCGGTGGGGATCGCGCTGGTGGTGACAGATGTTATTTAATGTCCCTTTTGAAGATACATGTGTACACGAAGATATAGACGAGCAGTACGAAAGTTTAAGTCGCTAAAGAGTGACAAACATGGGCGATGGTTATTTATTGTTGGCGAGCAGTGGTGTAGAACATCGATCCTTTCTTTGCACTCAATAGCTGTGACCGACACAATTTATTGGCTCAATTAGCCGCCTGCACGCTCATTATGAGGCACAGTCAAGGAGTTAAGAACTTAATCTCCGTGGGCACTGTGCATAGTGTTATCGCCTGTTCTGACAGACCAG